CGTGTCCGCGGGTACGGCGGAACAGCCAGAACTAACTAACGGAACCGACATTAAGTATGCACGACTCGATCAGCAACTAGAAACACTACCTGATAAGGGTACTACAGCGCTGAGGATGAAAGTGCCCAGGCTACTACTACCGACTACGGAAGCTGAGAACTTCTTCAGCCCAAGAGAGGAACCGCACTATGAAGAGACGAGGGATGTCTTTACCATCACACTGGAGACCTCACCACCCACTCCCGGTTTCGGCAAGGACAAACATCACCCGCAAATAGACAACATGACCTTACGCTTAGATACCATACAGCAGGTAGAACAAGCACAACTCGCTTGCCCTTATTGTGGGGCTACTAGAACGACAAAGCAAGCCATGCGCGCACACTATTCTACTGCACACCAAGGACTTTACCGACCACCTGCCGACGACCCATGTTTTTGTGTAGCCTGCAGGAGAGTGATGGCCAAGTCTTACTATCGTGACCACCGATGTAGAAAGCCGAAGCAGGAAGAGTACAGTGAGGCAGTTTGTGTTGGGTGTGGGATTACACTCGCCAACCCACGATTATCCGCCCACCTAATACACTGTGTCAAGTACGAAGGACAACTAGTTCCGCTGAAACAGAACACTGGAGCCTTTGAATTTGCGAAGAAGATCCGAGACATGCTAAGACCAGCATTACCGAAGTCGGAAACAGCCCAGCAGCAAACGGCGACGACTACTGCCTCTGCGGAGCGCATTCTGACACAAGCAAGGAACAGCCTGCGTCCGCATACACCAAGAGGGAGGCAATCAACACCCGAAGCGGAGCATGAGATAAGGACCAACAGAGACCTAAATGGGCAGGTCGAAAAGATGAGGAAAGATACGGAAAAAAAGATCAGGAAAGACCAATCAACCTGTAGCAGATGCAATAAGGAACTTAAGTCTTCACAAGCTCTAAGACGACACGACGCTCTATACCACCCAGGCACGGAACGACCAAAAGGCCTTCCGGTGTTCTGCATTGGATGTAACACGCCCTTTAAGACCGCTGCTACATACGTGAAGCACAAGTGTTCAGGAACGATGGACCAGGAACTGGCAACCAAACGATGCCACATATGCAATAAAGATGGGCTAGCTAACCCGGAATACTCCGCGCATATCCTTGCCCATCAGATCACCATCGACAACCCGGAGATTGCAGAAAAAGAACTTTACGATCCGAAGTAAAATTCTCAAAATGGTCGCCGGAAACAAGATCAATGCCAGGACCCTGCTATACAGGAAGCGCGTCACCACACAGATTAACAACAAGATGAAAGTCTGCCTCCACTGTGAGATGGTGCAGACTGACCCGCATCTGATGAAACGACACTACAAAAGGTATCATCAAGGGGAATACAGACCGCCTAAAATACTGCCAGCCTTTTGTGCTGGGTGCAACAAACTACTCCCCATCCACTACTACCGGATACACAAATGTCGAGGAAAACTAGGGGACGAGATGAGAGCACATTGCTGCAAGGTGTGTAAGGAGGCCTTTGTTAATCCAGAGCTATCGACACACATAATAGAGTGCATGAAACCTACAGATGCGGACTTCGATCCGCACAAGGTAGGTAAACACGACTATGACGGAATACGCGGTATGGAGATCCGCATCTCTCCCGACGAAGAGGAAGAGGCGCCTCCGACCATGAATATAAGGGAGCGCACACTAGATGCCATAAAGGAGATACTGATGACATGCACGGCGTGTAACAAAACCTTTACGACTACACAAGCGAAGAGGAGACACGACAAAGGAACACATGGGCGAGAAACGCCCATAAAGGGTAACCCAGTATGGTGCGCTGGGTGTCGCAGGAGCTACCAAGGATCGAGTGCGTACACGCGGCATTCTTGTCGGAATACAGAGCATGAAGAGGACGCAGATGTATGCGATTTTTGCGGAGACAGGTTGCCGAACCCGGCCTTGTCGGTGCATCGTCTCCGGCACTACGAGGAGCGGAGGCAGGAAGACGGAGAGAGGTAACACAAGTAGTGAACACCAATTTTTACCACCACAAACGCCGCCCCGGCTAACGGGAGTACAGCAAGCAAGGTTCGATTGCTAGAAGCACCAAAACTTTTAACAACAACAACTCAACTAGTGATGGTAAGCATACCAACGATCCCCCTGATGTAAGGTCAGAACCAGTTAGAAGAGGGAACAGAGAACTACCGAGCCGGACCGAAGAAGTCCTGGTAATGGAAGAAGACTACCACTCCACTGATGGAGGGGACGCCCCCGCGCCCAGACCAGAGACCACCACAATTACCATAGCTCCGCAACCACTACCTGAACGC